GAAACAGCATCACTTTGGTGTGAATGCTCAACAGTACACAACAAAAAGTGGAATGAGTCATAGATGTACATTGTTACTTCACTGTAACATTTGAAGTTCATCTGTTTTATATTTAGCACTAGTCACATTTCAGGCCTTTACTCAAGGCCTTACTTTGAGGCCACCGTGTTAGTGAGAGTTCCTGAGACTTTTGCACAGACAATGGTGTCACATCCTTCCCAGGGGGAGACACCTCAGAGTGATTTGTGGTTTGGGAAGACTGATGAACTGCTATTGCCACCCTGTTTCTTTGCTAGATCAATTCTACATGTAGGAGTGCGCTTTATGAATGATGGAGACCTCCGCGAGCCATCCATACAGCTGCCCAAAGACACGTCCCTGGCCCCCGTAGCACCTACAAGGCAGGAATAAAGCAATCACTCTTCACTACATGGCCATGCATTATGCACCCACAGTCACACGTGAACCACATGAATACACAGATAAGCCAACAAGGCGCACACACACAGATAAACAGTTATTTGTTTGCAGGATGCGCCTTATTTTCTTTGCCTTATTGGTTGTTAAAGTTTAGACAAAATGTCTGATGGATCTTCTGATGAGAACAGAGCTCAGTTTGTGGCTTTGCTACTTTTCTGGACAGGCCCATAAAACTGAGTGCAGGCCAGTAAGAGCAACTTGATGGTATTGAAGGATCACTTGCAGCACATCCAAAGGCTGTATAACATTGTGAATAGAGGCAGCGTACATAGATGTCATGAGCCTCCTGCAGAGAGGTTGAAAGCAAAAAGTAGAGTGCAATGAATACTTGAGTGTTCTGGAGGCTATGAAATTGAAAGGTTCTCCTCTTCTTTTTTTTTTTTTTTCCCCAAAAGATTCTCGTGGAAAAATAGAGGGAGTTGGTGCGTTTTAACTGCAACTTTGAGATTGGTCGGGCAAACTTGTGTGCAAATCAATGCAGGCCTGACAGATGAGCCCATTTTAATGATCATCCTGGTGCCCACAGCAAAAAGGAGAAGAGTAATCAAGCAGAGCTACCTAACATTCAAGAGAATCACATTTGATTATTACAAATCAAAGAGCCAAATCTGAATATTCATCCAAAAATTTTGAAGGTCAGACAGAAAACTCTTATAACAACAACTCTAAAAGTATTACAGAATGTATTTGTGTAACACTACTCAGATGAGTTTTTCCCTCTTTCTCACAATGAGCTAAGCACCCAGCCGTGTTACGGTCTTTAGATGTCAGGTTTTTAGCGCGTCGGCCAAAGCAAGACAGATGCGCAGCTGAGATAACTTCCATTTACAGTGTAAGCCTGGGAGAGCTGCAGTGTAAGGGCCATATACTATTTATGGGTTAATCGATACTGTGGCTGGATGACACCATGTCCCCACTACTTTCTGTCATCATGATGGCTCACTAATTTTGGAACGGCTGCTTTCTCCTGCTGCCTTCAGCAGGCTGCAAGATGGTTTAATTTGGCTGTAAAAACGCCAATCACTGTGTTACTTCTTGTTCCTGCGGGAGGTCAGAGCGGGGGCAAGTCCATAGGAGGAAATATATTCGCATAGTTCTTTTAGAGACACTGCTAACCTCTGACACCCCATTTGGGTTGTAATTTCATGTTGTTAAAGTGACAGAGACCCAGCCTCTGGGCTCTCAGAGGGACAGGGAGAGAGGAACGACTCAGAAAGGCCTTTAATTTTTCTCTGCAAGATGATGCGAGTGTGGGTGAAACACACAAAACAGACGAGTGCATGAGGATCAATGGTTCCTAAACACTGTATGAGTGCGGCACTGATTCACATCCTGCAGGTTTGGGTTTCTGCATTTAGAAGCTCCAGAGGCTGGATCTCATCAGAGTCACAGGAGGTCACGCTCTCGGTAAAATGGAGGCTGACTCGAGGAAACGCTAAAACAAGCGGTGGAAAAGCTCATTACCAACGAACCTCGACTTAAATCTGTTTCTTTTAGTTGGCTTTGATCACTAACTAATGGACATATGAGGAAACCGCTGCGTTTTGTGTGATGCGGGCTAACATTTAACTGCTCTCATTAAATCAGCAACGTAAAAGCGTCACACGTGTTTGTGCTTTAGAGAAGATTTTTTGACGCTTCTGATTTATTTTTGCATCGAACGCTGCGATTATACAAGAACGATGAGACGTATAACCACCACAGCTCTAATTGCTCTCATGTTTCTATTTATTTTATTTTTATCTGTTTGTCTGAGCATTCTGTGCACTGCAAACGCTACATAACAAAAGCTATCCTGCTGAGCTTAATGATACATGTCTGCCCATTATGGCAATATGCCTTACATTTATGTTACCGTATTTTTTGGACTATAATGCGCACCGGATTATAAGGGTCACTGGTGATGTTTCAGAAAAGAACAGCATTTCAAGTGTGCCTTATAGTCCAGATAATATGGTATTGTAATTTTACTCCATCCTAGTAAAGTTTCAAAAATATAGTTTGCAAACAATGCATAGACAAACAAAATGTAATGTCCTGCATTCTAACATGTCACATTAAGAATATACAGCGAAAAATATACAAATAAAGTACATTTCATGTTTTGCATAGATTATTTGTGCTGATAACATTAATCTGTATTAATAATCTGAACACAGACATTGTTCTTGTATCAAAAGACGAAATAACGCAGCCTTTGCCTCTGAGTGTGCATGATAAGAGCACAGCATGTTTGTTGGTGGTGCGGGAAACTGATCAAGCAACAAAACAAACTGAAAATGAACATTTTCCTACAGAGATGGTCACACATTACAATCTATCTACTAGTTAGTTTAGTTAGTTAGTTAGTTAGTTAGGTAGTTAGTTAGTTAGTTAGTTAGTTAGTTAGTTAGTTAAATGCACCCCAGAATTGTAAACACTATATTACTCAATATATTGGATTGTGTCTTGATTTGAGAGGACTGTCATGAAATGTTTTTGCCTACAATTTATTTTGTTGTTGTTTTAAGGAAATGCATAAAACAGTAAAAAAATAAAATTGTGTATTTTTCTAAAATATATTATCTGTGATAATAGCACTAACTTTTTATGAGTTATCAGTTTAATAACATGTATTTCTTGGAAAGTGATGAAAGAAGTGTAAGCAATAGAAAAAACAAGTAAATGTAAATTATCTATTGTCATGAATGTTTCCATACAGTGACAACATTTGTGTTCTGCATTCGAAGCATCGCACATGAGATACATCCAGGTGGAGCAGCGGGCTGCTGTTTGGGAGCAGCGGGCTGCTGTTTGGGAGCAGCAGTGGATTCGGTGTCTTTGGACGCCACGATATGTGGGCATGCGGGGAATCATACTTGAAACTTTTTGGTCCCATGTGGGCTGCCACTGCTCCACAGCAGCCATATAGCAAGATTTTGAAACGTGATGTTATTTGAAATGTAATAATGTAATTAATTATGGGACGGCTGTGGCTGAGCGGTTAGAGCAGTCGCCATTCAATGCAAGAGTTGGGGGTTTGGTCCTTGGTTCAAACCCCGGTCCAGGGGCCTTTCTGGGTGGAGTTTGCATGTTCTCTCCGTGCATGCGTGGGTTTTCTCCGGGTACTCCGGTTTCCTCCCACAGTCCAAAAACATGCATGTTAGGCTGATTGGTAACTCTAAATTGTCCCTAGGTGTGAGTGAGAGAGTGAATGTTTGTTTGTCTCGTTTGTCTCTATGTGTCCCTGTGATGGACTTGCGGCCCGTCCAGGGTGTACCCCGCCCCTCGCACAGTGATTGCTGGACATGGGCACCAGCGACCCCCGTGACCCAAAATGGAATAAGCGGGTAAAGAAAATGGATGGATGGATATATATATATATATATATATATATATATAGACCCTTTAAAAAACAAAGAAGGGAGGGAATCAAGAAACAAAATTTGCACAGTTTATTTTCTCATATTGATGTTTAATGTTTTATTAAATAAAAAAATTTCCATCTGTCCATCCATCATCTTTACCCGCTTCTCCTTTTTCGTGTTGCGTGGGGTCACTGGTGCCCATATGTCCAGCTATCACTGTGCAAGAGGCGGGGGACACCCTACACAGGTCTCCAGTCCATCACAGGGACACATAGAGACAAACGAGACAAACCATTCACTCGCTCACTCAAACCTATAGGGACAATTTAGTTACCAATCAGCCTAAAATTTTAAAAAAATATTATTAATAATAATAATAATAATAATAATAACAATAATAATAATAATAATAAAATAAAAAAATGTGAATGCCTGCCAACTGTACCTTGTGAGTTTGATTTTTTTTGTGGAAAATGTGACTAAAAACCAGTCAACAGTCATAAAATATAAACTATTTGGGTTCTGTGCTGTATGTTTATATTCACGTTTGTTTAAAGTTTGCAGATAAGTATTAAAGTTCATACTCTATAATCCAGGTTAAGAAATCTAACAAAGTTAAGTCAGGTCCTCTGGATGAATTTTTTTCTTTTTTCTTGGATTTTTGAACAATAACTGTGATGTTTTTAACAACTTTGGCCATGGCCGCCTCAGACGAGTCGAAGCGGGAGAGGGCGGACCCCAGAAAACATCTTATCACTATCAAACTTGGCCCACAATGAGTGTGCTGCTTATGGGACTGAGTTTGTTGTGCCTCCTCGGACTGATGAAGTCCTTAGGATGAAAGACGAAACGTTTCAACAAAAACAAACCGTCCAGAGAACCTGACTTAACTTTGTTGTGTGTAAATAAGTGTTTTGTGTACACTGAGTGCGTACCCGCATTTCAGATTTGCATATTAATAAATATATCTGTAAAGAGTTCACTTTGGTTTCTTCAGCAGTTTGAACGGAGCCGGAGCGCGTGCAGTTGGGCTGAGGTGGTCGGCAGGGGGGGACAGTGGTGGGAGGTGTCTGAGACTGAAAGAGTTAACGGAGCGGGTGGGTTTGCCCGTTCTCTCCCGCTGCGAGTGACGTGATCATCTCTCTTATCCCTCAACTTTGCCTGTTGCCAGCCCAGGCAGCCGAGCTGGACGCTGACGCGCACGTTCTCTGCGCGATCGCACCGAGAAAACTCCCAACAAAATCCATGTTTGTGGTTTGATTCCTGCTCCTGTCGACGGTTCCTCCTCCTCCTCCTCCTCCTCCTCCTGGCTGCGTCTTCCCGACGATGATTCCTAGTTTCCCTTTCCGTCGGACTCTCCGATGTTGTGCAGTCTACTACGCGAAGGCGTAAATGTTCGTTTTTTTTTTCCTGATTAGAGGTGGATCTTCCCGGATACGACGAGGAGGTATAGCTCTACGAATTGAAAAGCAAAACAAAAAAGGAAGCTTTGAACGGAAACATTGAAAAAAATGCCACGGAGGAAACAAGAAGCGCCCAAGCGCGCAGCAGGTACGTGAATCCAAACCGGAAAAAAAAAAAAAAAAAACGCGCTTTCCGTGTCAAACGCTGATAACTGCTGTTTTGTGGGGCTCACTTTTCCACTCCGCAGTTCCGTTCCCACTTCATGGCTTTGCCTGATGCGCTTGGGCACTTTTGGCCGCTCGGAGAGGCCACTGCGCTTTAATCAACACTTTGTTGTTCTGGGTTCCTCCTGGGTGACTCGGCAGCTGCAGACTTTCATTTCTTTGTGCTCCCAAGTTAAATCTCCCGTTTAAATGTCATCAGTAAACAATCAGTGGGAGTTTTCTGACCGTCTGACGCCATAAAAGGGGCTTTTGTGCGCTTTTTTTATTTATTTATTTATTTTTTTATCCAAGCGCACAACTTCTGTAGTCGCAGGGAAAGTAAAAGTAATTCTGAGGGGATTCTTTTTTTTTTGTTTTGTTTTTTTCATTTCAGGATTAGATAAACAATGTGAGTGCAGACAATGGGGATCTGTGGGCTGGAAGGAGCCATAATCGACAGTTGCCACGTTTGATTTGACGGTTGATTGATTGGCTGTCACGCGCCTTTGATCTGATCCGTCCCGATTTGCATCAGAAAATCACTTCCCACCATGTGCTGTGACGTCACGTTTAAACCACTTTGAAAGGCCCTGTGTACTTTTTTTTTTTCCTACTCTTTCACACATACACACACTTACTTGGTAGCACTGATGGTCAAGTGACTCACACACACACACACACACACACACACAAAGTGAAACAAGAGGAGAAGGAGGGGTGGGCAAAGTGGTTTCACAGTGAGAAATCGTACACAAACACACACTTCCATGTGCACACTTGTTCACTTTGAACACGCACACAGTAACGAGCATACAGTGGGTGAGAGGAGGCGGGAGGAGTGGGTTAGGGGTTGTAAAAGGAACTGTGTGCTTTGTAATGGAGGGGAGGAATGGGTTTGCTCTGTCAGACTGGGCCGTCACAACGGCTTTGTTTCATGTTTGATTTAATTGTCTCTCCCCTGACAGGCCCATTCATCAATGGCTTTAATGGTCAATCAGAGACAGGCTGAGTGAGTGCTCCCATTCTGTTTAGCCATAAGCTGGCCTGGGCTTTTATTTCATCAAAATGCCCCAGCCTAATGTACATGCTCACTGGCTCAGAGTGGCCACGGGGAGCACATAAAGAATGACTGAAAGCTTTCTGATTTCAGATCAGTGAGAAGGATGTTGTTTTTAACGTCCTCCTCTCCCCTCCACTGTCTCCTCCCTGCCACACCGCCGTTCCTCTGTTGACGAAGGGGCATAAAAGGCTGTAACGCGGATCGTTTTGTGTTTTTAGAAAACAACTTTTTTTCTCCGTGCAACCGCGCTTCTTTGTTCATTCATTCATCCATTCGTTTCTTCATTTTTTATTTTTTTTTTCCTCCGTGCTCCCCTTCCACCCCTGTCAGTCAGCCCGTGCAGCTGCAAGTTATAAAGTTGTCAACTGTTCAGTGGCACACAAAGGGTGATGATGAATTGATTGCAGCACCGAGCATGGTGATAGAGAGAGCAAAGAAAAGGATGACAGATGATGGGCCTTGATTAGGGACTTAGGGGGAGAGTCAGCCCACTGCAACCTTGAGACTTGCATGAAAAATCTACACACGCCCCAACAACACACACACACACATCCAACTCTGCTCTCATTGTCTCTCAAACACACACTCACACTTGTGCACGTGCACTTTTTCCCCCCTCTTTCCTGCCTGAGAGGGTTTCTCCCTCCACAGTAGAAAACTTGTTTTGCCTGCTTCATTAGCGTTGGTCCAATTAGCCGTAAGGCTGATGGAGTCCTGACAGGCCCTGTGATTGGAGATGACAAGCTCGGGGTGCCCGGCCCAATGAGGTTTGCCACCACTTTGATGTAATCAACTTGATATTACGCAGAGCTGCTCGCCTTTGGTTGCGCTGTAACTCAATTTTCTGCTGCAGGTGACAAATGGGCCCGCGTACCTGGGTCAGGTCTGAGTGCTCTTAACAACCGAGGGCAGCTGGCCACGTAAACAGCCGAGAAAACACGAGAGAGGGAGAGGTTCCCGGCTAGTGTGGAAATACAAATCTCCTCCCTTTGTGGCTGGCGATTAGCTTTACAACAAGTTTGGGGCCTGAAGCTATTGAAACGCTTCCAGAGAGTTGAAATATTCTATCAAATTAACAGGAAGTCGGCGCTGACTTTACAACATGACTATTTAAGTGGAATGTTGCACAGTTTTTACTGAATGACTGCACTGTACTGTATATCTAAAAAGTTTCTAAGATGATCACAAACACCTCAATCCATCCTTCTTTTGACCTACTTCACTCACTTTTGTAATAATGAATTTAATAGAGTCTGATCTGAGCTGGACTTCACAGCAACAGTTTCTTTCTGCAGGGTCAGGAAAACATCTTCTAGACTGGCAGCCGTTGCTTAAATCAGTTTATACGCATTAGCCTGTGTGTACACACACACGCATTCAAAATCAGCAGGCTCACGCTCTGATTTCTTAGGTTTGAGTGTGTTTGGTTTGGCTTGTGAAGCTGCTCATAAGCGGAATGGTAACAGTAGAACAAGTGCTGGGGTCAGGCTGTATGTCTTTGAACCTCCTTGGCGTAAAGTTTCTCCTCTCTCCATCTGTTTGTCTTAGCGCATCATTGATGCGACATAAGTTACAGCGCATACGCCGACTCAGAAACCCGAGACCCGGACAGAAATGGAGTGTTGATGCTGGTAAAGATACAAACATTTGCGGCGCACATTGCAGACACATGTACACATGCTGGGACTGGATCGCAAAGCAGCGAGTGAAAAGAAGCAAGCTTGTTTTTCCGTCTGTCTAGCTTCGTGTTGTTTACGTGCGAAAAGTGCGTCCTTATGGACGCAGCGGGGAAGCTCTGCTTGAGACATAACTGGTGGCTGACGTACACCAGTATCATCAGCATGCTTTAACAATCCACCTCCACTGGTTTGCAGGTGTGAGCGAGGCAAATGCTTTGGCCTTATAGGCCTTGTTCTAATGAAAGTCCTGTAGCTGGATTCCATTGAGGTTGAGTCACGTCTGTGATCTATGTGTCTGATAAGTGCATACCTAATGAGGCTGCGAGCACCAGTGGAAGGAGGAGGACTGCTGACTGAGTGTTTCCCACAGGTATTGACAGACAACCTTTTTTTTGTTTTTACCATGGGCCTTGACTCTATAAATCCTGCCGGTGTAATGATAACAGCGCCACCCTGCCTGTGAGTGAGTGAACGAGAGACTGTAAGGGAAGAAAGAGGGCACAAGGGGGAGGAAGAGGAGGCGGAGGTGCCAGTGGTGTGGACGATGAAGAGAAGAAGAGCGGGGGCGTTGAAATCGGCCTCCTCTCCTTTTTAACACGCACTTGGCAGATGTAAGGCCATAGGGCTGGGCTTTCTGAGAGACATGAAAGTGCTGTAGTAGTGTCATAAATAGAAAAGTGTTAGCCATTCACTTTTCCTTTTCAGCTTTCAGGGAAGATTTTAGTCGAGACTGCTGTCTTGGCACTAACTCTGAAGCTTTGTAAAAATAGTCCCGTCGCTGTTGTGATAGATGCAGCTGCACTGTGGCGACCACTGGGACGGCCTGGATCTCTCCGACTCCACCACCCACCCACCTATCCCTCCCAGAGGTAGAGAGCATTAGAGCCTGGTGGGATGTGTTCTCTTTTCGTGGAAACCGAGCTGCTCCGATCTTCAGGGGTCCTGAAACCCAATCCAGGAGGAGAATAGCCCGTCCATGCCAGAGAGCCGATTTCCTTTTCAACAGAGTCATTTATCACTGACCCACCCTTCGCTACTGACACGGTGACGTGTGTCATTTATCAAACAGGCTTTACCAGACACACAGAGAAGGGAGGGGGGCGGGGGGGGGAGGAAGAGAAAGAAAGTGAAAAACAAGACAGAAAGTGGACTGAGAGAAACAAAGAGGACTAGAGGTAGGGAGAACGAGGTGCAAAGTTGGAGGAGAATAACAGAAACTTGTATGTGTGACAGGGATTTTCCAGGAAACGGTGAGTTTCCTTGACACTTTTTTGCTTGAAGAAGAATGTTCTGGAGGCAACTTTGTTTTTGAGATGACAGGAAGGATTGAGTTGCTTCGAGGTGTGTCTCGACAAGTGACAGAGTGTCTCTTAGTGACATGTTGCAAGATGTTTGAACCAATCTGAGAAATTTGCTTTGCAAGTGTACAAGTCCGACGAGTATCTAAGTGTTTACTCATAATATATGCACAACAAACATGTGCAGAGAAACTGTAGAAGTGTGTATTTGTGTGTGCATGAGGCCATATGGCGTCAGTGTTTAATGTGTGTGTGTGCTCCCTGATGATCAGGGCTGACAGGTATCACTCATCCAGCTGCCTGGCCTTTAAATGAACCCGAGCTGCTCTGCTCTCTCGTGGCCCTAACAGGCTCTCTCCAAGATGGATGCTTCTTTAAAAATCAGATTAATGATGGATACCAGGCTTATAGTGCCATTTATCATGAAGAATATTATTTAGGCCGGCCGTGTATGGCTGTAACTGGAGAGCTAGGACGAGAAGAAGCAGGGTGGAAAGCCTTAGACAGACACTCACTGTGTGATGGATGGCTGAGCGCCCTCTGAGTGTTACTAGACACCAGTGCCGCAGCAGTAAGCCATAATCAGATAGCCCAGGGATGTTTATCCCGCAACTACACTACCCAGATTGCTTTGCCTGGAGGGTTGCTTTATCAAAGGTATAGACTCCCGTTATCATTAACTTTAAAAAGTTAGTTGAATCATGAAAACTTATTTTAAGATCCAATGTAACTGAGTGAAGTAATAATTTTTTAAAGGGCGGGGGTGCATTTTGCCCCCAAAAGTCCCCAAACCAACACTTTCCCATTCGGTTAAGAATGAAAGTACAGTGCGGGGTCAAGGCAAGGTCAACTGTGCTGCTGCTCCTACAGAAAACTGAGGAAAAAATGTTGTTGTTTTTGTCCTCTA